ATTGCACAAAAGGCACTCAAATTTTTTTTGTAAGTACTGTTAACAGGGCAAGCTTCTGTCGATAGGTTACGCTAATATTCAATTTGTATTATAGTTAGATAAGATCTTGAATGTGTAATTATTTCTATGTGACTCAATGGCCTTGCTTGCTGATGAGAACTCAAGCTTTGAGAATCAGACATTGGTTCATTCTTAATTAAGTAAAGCAACGCATTATTGATTTTAGAGTTAATCCAAACTGACATTTTTATGACCACGATGGACAAAATGTTTGTATCTCCCCAAAATCATATGTTGAAGCCCTAATCCTCAGTGTGGTTGTTTGGAGATAAGACCTCTAAGGAAGAAATTAAAGTTAAGGGAGGTCATAATGGTGAGAGGCTCTCATCAAACAGAATTAGTGTCCTTATAAAAAGAGACATCAGAGACCACTTGTACTTGCACATTCTACATGTCCAGCCCCCAAACCAACCCTGCTCACAGCTTGATCTTGGACTTCCAGCCTCTGAAAGTCCAGCAAAGACAAGTGAAGCATTCATAGCCAAGAAGCAAGGTGGGAGTCAGTGGATGGAAAATTACTAAGAGGAAACATGAGGAGTAAGAAGGGATTCTGGTTAAATCAGCTTAACAGGATTCTTGCTGAAGTCAGGACAGAGTAATCAGATATCACCTGGGAGGTGGTGGGAGATAAGGAATTTGATCAAATATTGACGATGATCAGTTATGAAGGGTGAGAGATTCTGGTTAAACAAATTTGACAGAATTTTTGCTAAAATTGGGCAATGCAAAAACAGACATGGAAATCCACAGTTCAGGGTCTCATTGGATTATCTTTCACAGGGTTGCAAAAATAATCCTCCATGTTTTCTTCAAAAAGTTTTAGAATTTTATCTTTTACATTTAGGACGATGATGTGTCTTGAACTAATTTTTATGAATGGTGCAGAGTTTGAGGCGCAATTTTTTTCTTATAAGTAGTCATTTTTTACAGAACCTTTTGTCAAAAAGACTTTTCTTCCCCCATTAACTTATGTTGATGACATTTAAAAAACGATCAAGTGACTGGGTAAATGTGGTTTGGTTTCTGGACTCGCTATTTGCTTTTGTTAAACTATTAATCTATCTTTACATCATATCATTCACCTTGATTATAATAAGTTTTGAGATCAAGTGATATAAGTACTACAAAGTATTTTTTTTATTTCAAGATAATTTTGGCTATTCTGAGTAGCTGGTCTTTTCTTTTCTTTCTTTTTTTGAGACAGAGTCTCACTCTGTTACCCAGGTTGGAGTGCAGTGGCACAATCTGGGCTCACCGCGACCTCCATCTCCTAGGTTCAAGCGGTTCTCTTGGCTCAGCCTCCTGAGTAGCTGGGATTACAGGCATGTGCTACCATGCCCGGCTAATTTTTTTTTTTTTTTTTTTTTGTATTTTTAGTAGAGTTGGGTTTTTGCCAAGTTGGCCAGGCTTGTCTTGAACTCCTGACCTCAGGTGATCCACCTGCCTTAGCCTCCCATAGTGTTGGGAATACTGGCATGAGCCACTGTGCCCAGCCTTGGTCTTTTCATATACATGTTACAATCATCTTGTCAGTTTCTACCAAAATAAAAAAAAAACCCTAAGATTTTGTTTGGGAATACTTTGACTCTACAGATCAATTTAGAAAAAAAAAAAATGCATCTTAAAAATATTGAGTCTTCAAATCCATGAACATGGTATATATTTCTATTTAAATAAATATTCTTTAATTTCTTTAAATAAGTATTCTTTAATTTCTTGCAGCAATGTTTCTTATTCCCAGCATACAGATCTTAGACATATTTTATTTAAGTTTTCCAAGTATTTTGTGTCAATTGATAGTATTTTAAATTGTGTTGGATTTTTTATTTAATTTTCCCATTCTTTGCTAGTCTATAGAAATACGATAGGTATTTTAATGTTAACTTATAGCTGTGACATTGTTAAAATCATGTATGAGCCTAGTAGTATTTTTTTTTAGATATTTATAGTTTTTAACGTACATAACCATGTTATATTTGAATAGAAACAGTATACTTTTTTCTTTCCAACATTTATGCTTTTTATTTATTTTATTTCCTCATTTCATAGCACCGACTAAAACACAAAAAAAAGATATTTTTGCCTGTTGTAATCCTTGGGTAAAGTTTTATCTGGAGGAAGAGATATGGTCAGATATCCACTAGTTTAAAGGGTGTGGCTAACAGTTTGGCTGAATGATTCTCAATTAAAAGGAACATGACTGGTAACTTGGTGATAATGAGGTCTGGAAAGATGTATGTGAATCTTGGCATAGATCACATTGGACATAGATCATGAAGATATTTGTGTCCCATATCAAGGCTCACCAAAGAACCACTTCAGAAGAATAAGTGGGCATAGTGGTTCATTCCATGGACGTGAGTGAACTTTTTTCTGCAGCTACATCTATCTTTGTCCAATTGGCTCATAAACAAAGTGGTCATGGGCAGCAGGGAAGGAAGCTATGAATGGGCTAAGCAATGTTCACTTCTACTCATAAAGGCTGATCTGACAACTGCCACTGCTGAGTGCCCAACCTGCTATCTGAGATGGATACTGAGCCCCCAGGAGGATCAGCTAGTGACTTGGTAGCAAGTAGGTTAATTATTTCTAACATAGAAGGGGGAATCCTTTGTTCTCTTTGCAATAGAAACTCATTCTAGATATACATTTGCCTTTTCTGCCTATAATGCTTCTGCCAAAATCGCCCTCTGTGGATTTACAAAATGCCCTATTCACCAACATGGTATTCCACACAGCATTGCTTCTAACCAAGAAACTCATTCTACAGCTAACAAAATGCAGCAATGGCTCTGTGAACATGGACTTCACTTGTATTATTATGTTCTCCATCACTCTGAAGCAGCTGGCCTGATAGAATAGCCTTTTGAAGACTAAATTATGGTGCCAGATGCATGGCAACACTTTGTAGGGCTTGAGTAATGTCATCCAAAATAGAGCATATGCTCTGAATTTGTGTCCAATTTATGGTGTTTTTCTCTCATTACACAGATCTGGAAATCAAGAAGTGGAAATGAAAGTGAATGGCTTATCTCCCTGCTTATCCCTAATCCATCACTAATAAAATTATTGCTTCTCATCTATGCAACCTTGCCTCATCTTGTCTAGAGGTCTTAGTTCTCAAGAGAGGAATGCTTCCACCAGGGTACATAGCAATGGTTCTATTACATGAGAATTTGACACTGTCATCTGACCACTTAGGGATTCTCATGGTGGTAAATCAATGGGCAGAGAAGGAGGGGTTATACTGACTACAATGATTGATTTTGACCATCAAGAGGAAATTAAGTTTTGACTGCACTATTGTGGTAAGGAGGAATGTGTTTGTAACTCACAAAATATCTTAGGACACATCTTAATACTGCCATGCTCTGTGATAAGAGTCAAAGAAAAACTACAGAAAAACTGCAAATGGCTGGGCCATTAGCAGTTTATCTCACTTCAGGGATGAAGGTTTGTTTTACCCCATTAGGCAAAGAATTATGACCAGGCAAAGTGCTTACTGAAGACAGAGGGAATAGGAGTGGGTAGTAGAAGACTGAATTAATAAATATTAACTGAAATCATGTCACCAGCTGGAGAAATGAACACCATAATACTTGAGAATTTCTTTCTTATTTTTACATGAAGATATTTATACATTTTTTCTCCATCCAACTATCTTTTTCCCCCTCCATCTCCCTAACATATAACATAGGAAGTATTAATAGTAACTGAGCTTATATTTCAGTATTTAAGTTATAATATATCTTATGGGGAGTGTGATTCAATTAGAAGAAAAATAAACATTAACCAAAATTGAATAAAGGGATTTTGTGTCATCTTTTCAGAGAGTTTTAGCATGTTTTTAGTTATATATCAGTATTTTAGTATATATCAGTATTGTGCTATGCAGAAAGATAATTTTACTATTGTCTTTATTTAGAAGTTAAGTATTGTTGGAAGGTGTATATGGGAGTGCCAAGTTGTAAGGGGGTGGACTGTGGCAACTGTTCAGTTTAACTAAACGGAGATGTTTCTCAGAAATCCTTTCACTGTATCATTCTAGTTTATGATGGGTCACAACAGAAACTTGTGTGAGATTGGGAAGGGAGAAGTGAAGTCACAGCTGGTCTTTACACTGCCAAGGTTGGCACAGGGCCAGGTACTGTTGTAGCTCATGCATACTATTACTGATCTACTGGTTTATGGGGAGCAAAACCTGGGCTTACGGTGTTTCTAACCAGAAATGCTTTGTTAGATCTTTGAATCCCAGGCCAAGTTATGTACAGCTTCACAGGAAAGAGTGTCAGCTTTGTTTTCAGTTCACTTACATTATCAAGATTGGAGGGAGTGGGACAAACACATGTTCCTATTTGTTCTTGTGGGTTCTAGCTTTGCCTTATAGATTTCATTTTTCCCCCTCATGTTCCCTCAGAGTTCACTCTTGGATCCCCCTTAATTGATGTCTATATTTCCTTGATGACTTCAGGCCTAATGTTAGCACAGAGTTGATAGCCTTATATGGATCACTTAAGAAGTTTCTACAATTGCCTAAGGTCTAATCCTCAAAATAAATCCCTGATTGTATGTCAC